AAAAAAAAAAAAAAAAGTTATGTCCATGGCAAGTCAAAGAAATAGAATAGATATTTTAAAAGGTGTCTTTTCAAACTTGCTTCCACAGTTACGCAAGGTGAGAGAGAACCCTCAAGTATCAGCAAGACTGCTCTGGACGGTCCAGCAGAGCCAAAAGCAGGACATGAGTTTAATCAGTGATCTGACCTCAACTGGAAATTTCTTCAAACACCACTGTCTAAGAAAAAAAGACAGCTTAGAGTCACCCACTCATAAGAGGTCTAAGGCAAGAAAACCCACAGAGCCCATTTTCTATACTTCGGATATTTAGCACTGATGTTTTTTGGCTCTATGCATGGATGATCTTTTCTAGAAAAAAATGTAAAAGAAATGCCTACAATGGAGGAAGGTAGACTCCACCTGGGAATGCCATCTAGGGAAGAGGGGAAGAGGGGCAAGAGAGCTTATAGCAAGCCTGACATACAAACACAGGCCACTCAACTGGAGTTTGGGGTTTTCCATTCTGGCCAAGACTGCACTGGTACAGCAAGCACAGACAGAATCAGAAGAACGTGGTTCTGTACTGACAATTCTGATACTCAGATGAGGCTGCAATAGGCAGTTAATATATGACATCAAGCCTCTCGAGCACTAGAATTTAAGTCTGTGAGAACTGCTTCACTGCAAAATTCAAGATGGCTGAGGTGTTTTAACTGGAAAGGTATAGGTTAAATGAGACCCTACATCTTCTAGCTCTATCGCAGAGCTGTCATCAACATCGCCTTGCCCTCCTTCTCTGTACATCTAGCTTCGCTTTTTCACACTTCAGGTACATTACAAAATGTTTCTGTGTTTAGGAGAGAACTGTCCAGTCGCAAGGCCGGAGGGACCTGGCTGTTAGCTGGGAAGAGCCTGTTCAGGAGGAGAGCCTGATCAGTGAACCGGATCGCTTTGGCCCTGTGGAGAAGACTGAAGGAAAGGGGCGCTGCACATGAGCAATGTCTCATAACTCCCCAGCTGGCTTCTCTGAGTGGTCACTTTCAGAAGATCCAGAATAAACGGAGAATCCTAGGTTCAGAGTTCATTCCTATAACCCTCCTCTCCTTCCCCTGACATGCGATGCCATTTACCATGCTATTCAGCATCAGATTACTCAATTATTCTCGTCTCAGCTTCTCCCGGATAGAGAAGAGACCAGTTAAGGGCATTAACGATGCTGCACTCTTAGGTAACATTAAACCAAGGCAGACCTTGGCAGGTGAAAGGCAGGCCCAGCTCCTAGAAAGGCAGAGGGTGCAATGTGTACTTTTGCTAGTTATTCATTCTACTGAACACTGCAATTTAGGAATTAATCACAAGTCACATCTAACAGACTTCGCAACCTAATCTCAGCAGAAACTGCCTCCTTTTCAGTCAGCCCTCACCGCACTGTCCCATGAACTAACCATGTATGCCCAAAGAATGAGACCCTTAGAAAATTCAGGCTCTCATCATCTAGTACCTCTATTCCCCTGCACACACTACCTCTTTGAACAACTCTCTTTTCTCTCCCCTGCTTCAGCTGTAACCTCTAAGTAGCTACTAGCAGATCTGCAAATCTTCACTTCACTGAAGTGCCAACCTCACATATCCGAGCGCCTGCTGGTCATCTCCCATGCAAGTCCAACCAGCCCTCACCAGCATGTTGCAAATTAAAGACGGCACACCTCCCAACCCTGAAAGTGCTCCCCTCCCTCTGGCCCTCCTCCTATGGCACTGGTCACCAAGCTTTCAGGCTTCCCATCTGTCACCAAGTCCTCTCGCTCCTCCCCTGAAAGGGGACTCTTTCACAGCTGCCTCCCGTGTGATGTCATTACCTTCGCTCTCTAGCTTATTCTCTTGCCTGTATTAATGCAAAGGCAATTCAACTGCCCTTTCCTCTCTTCAAGCCACCCAGACACATGCTGCCAGTCTGATCATGTCACTTCCTGGCTCAAAAAAACTTCAATGGCTTTTCAATGCCTAAAGAAACATTTGCTTCTATAATTGACCTCACTCCCTCCGCGCACCCAATGTTTTTGCTCCACTAAGCTATGTACGGTCTCTAAACAAGACTGTACTTTCTCATCCGTGCTTCAGAATGCCTTTTCAAGATCCAATTCAAATGCCAACTCTTCTATGAAATGTTACCTACCCATTTCCTGCAGAGTTCATCTTTCCTGGTGTATCTGAATTAGCATCCAATTGTGATTTAGTTATTTATGCATAAACTTGTTTTTCTTACTACACTGTAAATACCTTGAGGAACAGGAGCCAGAACCCACCCATATTCTCACTCCAGCAGAGTCTGATAGAAGGTCTTGCACTTAGTAGGCAGTCACTAAGGGCTGCAATTTAACTCCCAGTATTTCTCTCTATCAAGATCTCCATGTGAAAAGATACAACCTACAACTACTTTCCATCACCTTCCCTGCCAGAGTCATATTCTCACCTTCTTCAGTTCATCCTCTCAGCTCATCAGGGTTCTGTTAAAGTCACCCTTCTCGCTGGAGTAGGGAGGACATGCCTGGTTGACATGACCGCTTTCACTACAAGCACATGAAGCAGGGGTTACGACTTCCACTCTGTAGATGAGGAAGCACATGGCAAAGTCTGATGACTTAGGTCAAGTTTCAGAGCTCATCGAAGAGCCCTGGATTTCAAGCTGAGGGCCACTGACTCAAAAACTCATGTCCATCCCACTACACACTCCCACTGTACAGCCTCTTCAATTTCCTCACAACTACCACTTTCTAGGACTCTCCAGTGGCATGTTTACAATTGTTGTAACATTTACAACAGTCTCTGACCTGACCTGATCAAGCCCTTGCTGCCCATGAAGCAAAATCACCCAGGTCATTTCTTTCCATCTCTCTATTTCCAGGCTTTCTACTTCCTTTTTTCCAAATCATTCTCAACTCAGTGGAAAGCCACTCCCAGGACTTCTACTCCAAATAATACCATCATCACTGTATTGAGGGTAAATCTGAAGCACAAACATTAAGAAAACAAAAACACTTTTAAAGGACACTGTTGCCCTCTGCACATGAATATCTGCTGCAACTCAGCATTGACAGGACCTACACCGAGTCAAGTCTTCCAGGACAGGGAACTGAGAAGACAATGACCCACCCATATTCTCCCCTTGGCAGGGATACTGAGGTTCTTCTATATAGGATGCACTAATTATGGGAAACTAGCTGTTAAGCCAGGGCTTGCTTAGTTCTGCCAAAAGCACAGGTATAGGTACTGCATGGACCAAGAGAATATGCAGTTTTAATCATGTTTATGCAGATTACCTATTAAAAATGGCTGACAAAATCCTGAAAGAAAATATGGATACAAAACTATATATACATGCTATTAACACAACCATAAAATATGAATGCAGTGCCAAAGACTGAAAGGTAATGCACGTACAAAAATGTTAAGGTATTAGAAGCTGTGTAAACATGAATGAATGTTTAAAATTCTTTAATATTATATTATTTCTCTGGTTATCTATTGCTACATAGCAAACCACCCCCTAGCTTAGAGGCTTAAAACACCACCACCATTTATTTCGCTCATGAATCTGCAAGTTGCACGAGGTTTGACATTGGCTGCGTGGCTCAAAGGCTAAGGGCTGGGATCCTCTTCATACTTGCTCACTCCTGTGTGTGGCAGTCAATGCTGGTTGTCAGGGTCTCCCTGGGGTTGTGAGCTGGAATACCTAACACATGGCCTGGGCTTCCTCACAACATGGTGGCTGGGTGCCAGGGGCAAGCATCCCAAGAGTCAGAAGTTATACTGCCATTTCTAACCTAATCTCACCTATTGCACAGTATAATTCATGTCCACTACATTCTTTTTTTTTTTTTAAGATTTTTATTTATTTATTCATGAGAGACAGAGAGAGAGAGAGAAAGAGAGAGAGGCAGAGGCAGAGGGAGAAGCAGGCTCCTCGCTAGCAGGGAACCCGACGCGGGACTCGATCCCAGGACTCTGGGATCATGACCTGAGCCGAAGGCAGACACTTAACCAACTGAGCCACCCAGGCACCCTGTCCACTACATTCTATTTGTTAGAAACAAGTCGTAAAGCAGGTCCCCCTATTCACGAGGATGTCGACCAGACTCTACCTTTTGATAGCAGACCTCAGAATCACTTCGGGAGTTTTAAAAATATACCCATCCAGACCAATTAAGTCGGAATCTCTGGGGAGATTCTAGTGCTCCCAAATAAGTACTTTTATTTATTTATTTATTTATTTTTAAGATTTTATTTACTCATTTGAGAGAGAGCGAGCGAGCACGAGCAGGGTGAAGGGCAGAGGGAGAAGCAGACTCCCCGCTGAGCAGGGAGCCTGATGTGGCACTCGATCCCAGGACTCTGGGATCATGACCTGAGCCGAAGGCAGATGCTTAACTGACTGAGCCACCCAGGTGCCCCCGAATAAGTACTTTTATGAATTCCCCAGGTAATTCAAATGTGTAGTTGGGGGATAGACCCACAGAATTAAGATGATCTCTGAGCTTTCTACAGCTCCAAAATTATACATAGCAGCCTGATTTAGGAAGGATGAAGAGGCTAAAAAAGGTAAAATAAAAGTCTATTAAAAAACACCCACAAGTGGGGCATCTGGGTGGCTCAGCTGGTTGAGCATCTGCTTTCGGCTCAGGTCATAATCCCAGGCTTCTGGGATCGAGTCCTGCATTGGGCTCCTTGCTCAGCGGGGCGCCTGCTTCTCCCTCTGCCTGCCACTCTCCCTGCTTGTGCTCTCTCTCTCTGACCGATAAATAAAATCTTTAAAAAATAAAAAATAAAAGATAAAATAAAATAAAACAAAACCGGGCGCCTGGGTGGCTCAGTTGGTTAAGCGA